CGTTGACATTACTGTTTAAAATCATAACTGCCTTTTAAGTAAAACACCTGTTGCTTCATTAAATGCAAGTGTTATCCTTTGCCAGCTTTCCCGTCTCAATAGGGAGGACAACGACCTTCCTCAGACCACGCTGTTCTGTGTTATCAGTTACACTCCCATGGGAAATAGAATGTTGACTGAATGCACCTGGTTTTGTTGGAGGGAAATGTGACATTGTTTTTACTCCCTAAGTTAAACAGCTTTCCACCTGAATCTCTACGGAGCAGTTTAGGAATGTGATGGGATGTGCTTTGTGTGTGTGCTTTGTTAATAAAAACTCTCAGAGAGAGAACGAATGTTCGCTGAGAGATCCAGTGAACCATGCTTGGGTGGGTATTCATTTCATCTCTCCACTTTGCAAAGTAGAACTGAACAATACTATTGTTCTAATCCGCTGTGTGTTTGACTTCTCTTTAAGGTGACCTGGTATTATTAAAAAATAACCCAACACTTGCCACAGAGGAGCTTTTTAACCACCTCAGTGACTTCAGCACCAGAGATTTGAGAGGCCAACCCAAAGTCCCCAGACTCTGCTTCCTCACTGGAAGACGTGTCGGTGGGATTGAGGAGGTCTTCAAAGTATTCTGCCCACCGATCCACAAGTCAGCAGCACACCGTCCCCACTATAGATAGTGTTGGTAGCGCACTGCTTTCCCCCCAGAGGCGCCGGATGGTGGACCAGAATCTCCTCGAGGCCGTACGGAAGTCTTGCTCCATGGTCTCACTGAACTCCTCCCATGCCCAGGTTTTTGCCTTGGTGACCACCTGAGCCGTGTTCCGCTTGGACTGCCGGTACCCGTCAGCTGCCTCTGGAGTCCCACAGGCCAAAAAGACCTGATAGGACTCTTTGTTCAGCTTGACAGCATCCCTAACCGCCGGTGTCCACCAGCGGGTTTGGGGGTTGCCACCACGACAGGCACTGACGATTCTAAGACCACAGCTCCGGTCGGCCGCCTCAACAATGGAGGCACAGAACAGGGTCCATTCAGACTCAATGTCCCCCGCCTCCCCCAGAACATTTTGGAAGTTCTGTCGGAGGTGGGGATTGAAGCTCCTTCTGACAGGAGACTCCACCAGACGTTCCCAGCAGACCCTCGCGATACGTTTGGGCCTGCCTGGTCTGACCGGCATCCTACCCCACCATCTGAGCCAAGTCACCACCAGGTAGTGGTCTGTTGACAGCTCCGCCCCTCTCTTCACCCGAGTGTCCAAGACATGCGGCCGCAGGTCAGACAAAACAACAACAAAGTCGATCATTGAGCTGCAGCCTAAGGTGTCCTGGTGCCAAGAGCACATATGGACACCTTTATGTCTGAACATGGTGTTCATTATGGACAATCCATGACTGGCACAGAAGTCCAATAAAAAAACACCACTTGAATTCAGATCGGGGGGCCGTTCCTCCCAACCAAACCTCTCCAGGTCTCACTGTCGTTGCCCACGTGAGCGTTAAAGTCCCCCAGCAGAATGAGGGAGTCACCGGAAGGAGCGCTGTCCAGCACCCCCTCCAAGGTCTCAAAAAGGGTGGGTAGTCTGAACTGTAGTTTGGTGCTTAAGCACAGACCACAGTCAGAACCCGCCCCTCCACACATAGGCAGAGGGAGGCTACCCTCTCATTCACTGGTGTAAACCCCAACGTACAGGCACCAAGACGTGTGGCAACTAGTATGCCCACCCCTGCTTGGTGCCTCTCAGTGGGAGCAACTCCAGATTGGTAGAAAGTCCAACCCCTCTCAAGGAAACTGGTTCCAGAGCCAGAGCCATGCGCTGAGGTGAGTCCGACTATATCTAGTCTGAACCTCTCAACCTCACACACCAACTCAGGCTCCTTCCCCACCAGAGAGGTGACATTCCATGTGCCAAGAGTCAGCTTCTGTAGCCAAGGATCAGACCGCCAAGGTCCCTGCCCCTGACTACTACCCGTCACACACTGCACCCGACCCCTTTGGCCCCTCCCATGAGTGGTGAGCCCATGGGAAGGTACAATAATATACATTTGTATGTTAATAGTAAATGTATGTTAGTCTTTATATTAAAGCAACTTGCTTTAGTGGAAACAGTTGACATACTTTGGGAAAGTAAATTCAATGTCTTATTTTTTACAGTGTAGATGGTTTTCCTAGGGTGGCAGGTTCCAGAGAGGCAAGTTTATTTTCATGTAAGTTCAACATTTCCTATTTTTACAGTATATTTTTTTGCTCATAAAGCACAAGGGGTTTACTGTGGCCATTTCTCCATGGTAAATGGCCTGTATTTTTAGGGTTCTACAACCCCCCAAGGCGCTTCACAGCACAATCAAGCCTTATTTATGATTCTGCGTCAATATGGAGACACGCAACGCCATTATTTATTGCTGCGAGGGCTCTCCAGCAGGCTTGAGAGGATGAATAGAGTCGAGCTCACTTGCATAAACATCTGGAGAATCCAAGCTTGTGATTGGTCAGGACACTTCTTCCTTTAAATTTGTCAACAGCGCCACCATTGTGCCCTCAAAAAAACAAAGAGAGCTGAAAATATCTAGCGGCAGACATAGAGCAGCTTGAAGAATATCTCATGGAAAAACTAAAAATATTAAAGTTTTATTCACTCGTGACTGGAGGAGTAAGATGATACACAGCAAGCATTTTATGCATGGATGGAAATGGGAAACGTGGGTTTAGAGGTGGTGAGTGCATGAAGAGGTGAAGGAGAACGAGGGACACATTTGTCCGTGTTTAAAAGTATCTGAAATACAAAAACCACAATATAAACACAATAGTAAATGCACTATGCTGGACTGGATACATGACAGGATACCACAGAACAGCGCTACGCCCTCTGTTGTCCTGGCGAGGAATTGCTTTGCAACACTGCGTCAATACGTGTGTGTCTCTCCCTCGTTGAGCTGACGCAGAAGCATAAACTAGGCTTCAGTCACCCATTCACATGCTGGTGATGAAGAGCTAAAGTGTAGCCATAGTTGGCCTGGGGTGTACTGAAGGAAACGAGACTGCCGAACACAGGCACCATCAGTCCTTTCAACCACCAGCAGACAAGGCAGGTTAAGCGACTTCTCCAAGGACACAACAGCTTTGATATAGTAATATACTTGTAACATGATAACAAAATGTTCATTTAAACATACATTTAAACAATGAGGCTTAATGGAACCAGTTAAAATAACTAAGTTAAGTAATTTGAACATTGCCGTTTTTAGAGTGCTGGTGGCTCTGGGGCATGGCACTGAGGGGAAGATGTCACTAGAAAAATAATGTCTAGTCATCCCAGTTGTTAAAATGATTATTAAATAAGTGTGAAGTGTAAAGGTGTAAAGGGTGATGGTGGCACAGGACGTAAGTGCTCGGCCCGTAATCAGAAGGTTGCAGGTTCGAGCATTGCTCAGTCTGTCACTGTCGTTGTGTCCTTGGGTAAGACACTGAACCCCCCTTGCCTGCTGGTGGTGGTCGGAGGGACATCAAATACAGACCATTTACCATTTTAAAAGTGAACATTTGCAATAGGGCTACATGATATTAGAAAAAACTGTGATATGCGATGACAGTGATTATATTGCGATGACGATATTGCTTGCGATAAATAAAAACTTAACTCAGGAACAAAAATAATTAAAAACAAAGAAAGAAATAAATGACAAAAAATCATATACATTAGAAAAGCAAAAGATGTGAGGAAAGGGAAAAAGAAAATGAACAAGAAATGGCAATCAGTGGATCCCGGGAAAGGCAGAATCAGCAGAAAGAGGAAAACAAAGCTAACTCAGATGTTTGCTAACCATCAAAATTAAGTGTTGGGGGCGGGCATCTAAATTATGAGAACCCGCACAATTGGCCAAATGGGTGAAGAGCTCTGTTTGATTTGTTAAAAAAAATCACGCTTCCGTTTGATTGACAGAATGCATTATGTTTAGCAAACATTTGAGCTGACCATTTATCATGATATTTATCTGTTCTTTGCATTATGCATATTGGGCATGCTGATATCGTAACGATATATTTATGATATATTGTGCAGCCCTAATTTGCAGTGAAATCAAATCCTGCCTCTCTGGTGGAATTTCATGCCACACCTTTGCTACCATAAGAAAACCATCTATGATACTTTATGCACAGGGAGAGTTTTAAGACTCAATCCCTGTGGGTATCAGCCTCATTTACACACTTTTGGTGAGATTTGACTTTATTTCTGTTGTCTCATTCGGGTTTAGCTTGCTACCATCTCCAGGAATCAAACAGGACCCTTTATATGTCTTGTGCAAAGAACACCAGCACATGTTTGTGATCAATCAAAGAATATAGGATTGTTTTGTAGCTCCATAAAGTCTTACAAGAGCCGTTGTAAAACTCATGATGAGCTCTTCCTCTCCAGCTGCCCGCCAGCCTCCTGCAGCAGGTCAAGAGTGAGCTGGCAGATGGAAAAATGGAAGGAGAGCGGTGGCTAAAAATCTGAATGAAATGCAAGGAAGTTAAAAGCATTGGGCTGGATGAAAGAGAGGTGGGAGGTGGAGAAGCAATAAGTGGCAAAGCACTGACAAACCATTGCTCTGACAGCTTTGGTGTCTCAAATGAGAAATTATTGAAATCTGGTTTAAATCTTGTGAAATCTAAACTCTTGCAGGAGTGGGCTGAATGTTGCAACGTGCTGTAATAGGCTTGAGCACTACGATTAAAATGCAAATTAAGTGTTTGCTGCAAAGGCTTTTTCCTGCTTCCAAGCAGCAATGACAACACCTGTGCTAACCCCAATTATCAGAGGTGAGCTCTGATTGGTTTTGGTCCTGCAACTCAGTCAAACTGCACCATTAGCATCAGGGCAAGCTGGGGATAAACACATGAAAACCAGAATAAAGGATCAGTACTTGTTGGGAGGCCCACCCCTTCATCCCACCAGATGTTTTTTCCCACCCAACCAACCGCGTGCGCCCACTAGCGGCCACATGTGTGCACGTGCATGCGCGTACTTACGGTAGAAGACGTATTCCGTGTAGCTGGACCAGACCTTGTCCTCCGTGTGCTGGTTGACAAACGAGGCCGTGACTGATGAGTTGCAGGCCACCATCTGGAAGCCGCACTCCGACAGCATGTCAAACGCTCTCTCCAGGTGTTTGAACTTGAGGTAAAACCGGGAGGTGTACCGATCTGGAGTCCTGTCCGGGTCCCGGCTCTCGTTCAAAGTCTCCCCGAACACTTCTTTAGCGAGGGCCACCCTGCCACATATCAGTATCCGAGGTACCCTCCTGAACTTGGCGTCGGTTTGACTCTCCCGGCCCATGGTGCACGAGCCCCGGTACCCCACCGTGATGAAGCCGCTCTTCCTATCCGCTGGGACGAGAGAGGGCGGGGGGCACTGCCGCTGGTCGCTGCCCTGAGAGCCGTCCTCGTGGTCGCTGTGGAAGTAGTCATCCGGGCTGTGCTTGATGTCGTCCTGGGTCAGGAGCTTCACCAGGTCGGGTAGCTGGAAGTACTCTGCCTCTTTCCTGAGCCTTCCCTTTTCCGGGAAGTGGTCCGGCAGGACGACCTGCTTGTCCCGGAGGTAGTCCAGAACATATCGGAATAAAAAGCCGTCCCTGTCGATGAAAAAACGCCCCTTGGGGTCTCTAGCCAAGTCATTAGACGCTTCTTTTTTGGACGAGAAAAGCTTACCAAGCAGCGAGTTCGGGGTGCCCACCAAAGTGGAGTGGCGCGTGTAATAAACCTGCCCCCCCACGTTTAGTTCAACTACATCTGGGAAACTGTTCTGGACTGACGCCTGCTCTCTGGGGTTAGTCCTACAGTTCCCACTCAGCGCCATTCTTTCCGTCATGAACGCACCTCTTTCTGATGCAAGTAAAAAAATAAAAAAGGGAAAGATAATAAATTAGATTTGCGTCAAAAGTTCTTCTGAGGCAACTTCATCTCACAGCCTAAACGCGCAAAGCATGCTTCTCCTCCAAAATTAAATTCTAACTGATGGGTTTCTGAGGAGGATAAAAGAATCAGAGCTGCGTGAGAGGAAAAGTGTCTCAGGGCGCATGGAAGGCTTGCATTAGTGGCTGTAGGACTGCGATCGCCTCTGGGAGAACGGCTTCTACAGGAGCGATGGAGGCTGAAGGATGCCCAATGCAGCGAGAGAGAGAGAGAGAGAGAGAGAGAGAGAGAGAGAGAGAGAGAGAGAGAGAGAGAGAGAGAGAGAGAGAGAGAGAGAGAGAGAGAGAGAGAGAGAGAGAGAGAGAGAGAGAGAGAGAGAGAGAGAGAGAGAGAGAGAGAGAACTTGCCTCGCAGTGCCGTTCTGCTTCCTGGGAAAATGCAGGAATCTTTATCCAGGCAAAAGGAAGAAACACAATTAAAGTCGATCAACTTCTTTTAGGAAAAACAAGAAAACGATGCTTTCTCCTGAACCTTCCTCGAAATATTTCCATGTAGGCTGAGAGAAAACTTCACAGAGATTCAGGCATCTATTGAATTCGTTTATCCACAGTTAAAACAAAACAAAGACAATCTTCGACACATTCATAGTTTCTGCTCTTGTCGGGTGGTGTTAGTTTAGAGCTGATGTGTGTCATTCAGCAGCAGAGAGGAGCTGACCCGTCGCTGCTGGCTGCTCTTACCCGGAGCTGTCCGCGGTGCTGAAAGGAGCATCTCCCCTCCCTTCCTCTCCTCTCCTTCCCTGCGCGCGCTCGCACCGACTCCCTTTCCCAACAGAGTTGGGTGGTGTCTCCACCGCCCCCTCACCCCTCCTCCTCCTCCTCCTCCTCCCCCTTCTCTTCCAATACACGTTTACACAAAAACACATTCACTCTTTGGTTAAAATAAAGTGATTTTTCACAACTTTTACATTTTCTTAGCTAATGGAAATCTTCCATATTTTTCTGCATGTTTGTATTGGGACTCAAACTAAAACCCACGTTTCCTCGAATCTGTTTGCAAACATCAGACCATGACTTATTTCGGTACCTAAAATAAGATATTTTCAAACACTATATTATACTGCATCATGTTGTTGTCTGCATTGTCAAAGAAATTCTAGTGTTCAAAATCCAAATAAGATTTATCTCTGCTTTATAAAATGAGCAACAGCGCCTCCATCTGGCTGCTTGGTGTTTTTTATTTTCAGGCAAGGAACAGTACTGCTCTGGTTTAGCTGCAACTGTGCACATGAACACCTTAGTGCAAGTTATTCACTTCCAGCTGATCATGAATAAGGTCAAAATCATCACTTTGAGCTTATTTTTACTTTTTTTATCTTAAGTCATGTGTTTCACTTGTTCCACGTCATAACATTTTAGAATAAAAATGATTAATAGTTTTCTACCTGGGAAAAGATATTTAATCTATGATGCACATAAATATTAAACACACACCTAAAGCTTCAGCTCACACTGCAGTAAAAATTAAATAGTATATGGAATTCTAAAGTCAAAATGCACAGTCTGTGTTCCTGACAGCCTTCTGTAGGTTTTTGTCTTTTAGCTGTCCACTCTGATCCAACTTTGCCTTCAGACAAACTTGGCATTTCCTCAGTGAGAGTGTGTGTTCTGCCTCTAGGGGAAATGTGTTCCTGCTGTTTAAACTGCAGCCCAACATGAAGAAAGCAACAACAAAAATCTGAAGCATATATAGTAAAATTTTAAATATGATTGTTGTTGATCTAAATGCTTAATTCAACATATTTGTGCTTCAAGAAGAAGACTTGATGGTCATAGAGTTATTAGTTATGCCATTTTGCCTCCAAGATTTAAACAATGTATCAAAAATTTTACAAGGTACAGTCTCCCTGATAAGAGTCTTGAATACAGAAAATGAAGGTGCTGACAGTTAAAAAGGTCAAATATGGAGTAGAGAAAGGTAATTTCACCCTTAATTAATTCATCTTAAAATAACTGTGATTAATCTTTTTTTAAGCTAAGATCGGTTTCACTACCAGGCCTTGTCACTGCCAGTTCAGTATTTCAAATCTAAATGGAAACTGGACAAAAATAGGGTTGAAAAACTATTGTGACCAAAAAAGTAACACATAGGCTGATATAAAATTTGTCAAAGAGACATTTGTGTATTTTGTGGATTGATGAGAAAAAAGTTATGGAAATGTGGGGTAAAACTATCATTGTTCCAGGAGAAAAACACGGTAGAGGTAGTGTGATGGTCTGAGACTGTTTTAGGACCTGGATGACCAAGAACCAAGGATTCTGTTTTCTACCAGTTAGTCCTGAAAGAAAATATCTGTCTATGGGTGTTAAGCAGGCTGTTGATGCCATAAAACTGTATTTTGTTTTCATTCAGGTTATTATTATTTTTACTGATCTGAAACATTTTATTGAAAAGAAGCAATAACAGAGAAAATCTGTAAGTACACATTTCTAATCTGCAGTTATTTTTATTACAGGTGGGACTGACTGGAAAAAAACATTTTTAATGTTTTTTTGTCTGAATATAATCAGTCACTCGGAGTTTTTCATGCAAGCTGAACATGAGATAGTCTCCTACACACATCTCCTGCATTAGCTTCTGATGCTAATGCTAGGATTTGAAAATCCTCCCAGATCTATGTCACACTGTGAATTAGCATTCATGGACTCATGATGGGGAAGGCTGTTGTTGTTGTTGTTGTTGTTGTTGTTTTAACGTCCAGTTATCAGTAGTGGACGTCTCGGCTAGTTTAAACTAACGTTAGCATTAGCAACTTCACGGCAGAGATCCTCCAGGCGTGTTTTAATTGTGGAGATAAGACATCCACGTTGCAAGTCAGTGGTAGAATTATGTTGCTGTTATTCAAGCTGGGGCGAGATGTGCAAAAATCAGAAAATGAGACTCCAAAACCTGCTGTCTGAAGCTCAGCTGTGATGTCACAGGCTTTCCCTGCTGAGACAGGGGTTTGTGGGCGATTGTGCCCTGAGTTATGCCTGCAAGGTATTCATTCCTTACAGAGACAACTGCGAATGGAATGATTAAATGAGTAATCTACTCCTTTAAACTTTTATTTAACTAGATTACAAAAAACACATAGAGATCAAAACCTCTTTCACAAGGGTGACCTGTTTGTCATAGCAGATAAGATGATAAGATTAAAGTAACAAAAACCATTACAAATGTAAACAAGCAATGCAACATGCAGTAAAATACTTTTAAAATAACAATTAAATTCATGAACAGTGATTTCCGATTTAAATCAACAGCACTGTTGAAAATATTGCTGTTGTGGGTAACATTAAATGTTATATGAAACTATAGTATTAAAAAGTGCAGTCTAGATTTAAAACTACACAAATGTCTTTGTTGGAACTTCAAGCTGGAAAAAAAGAACAAAACCAAAGTAGAGCGAGTGATAGCAACAAAACGAAGATGCAAATGAAGGCGTGGAGGAAGAAGAGGAGACGGGCGCCTCGCTGGGACCTGAGCAGTCACCCAGAAGTAGGCCATGTTGGCAGCTTCATCATAAATACATGTGTGCACAACTTCCCATGCTGTGCTGCTATTTAAAGAGCAGATGATTGACCACCTGTGAGGAGTTAAACCTGTTTGGGTTGATGCGTTCATTTCTGTCTGGTAGTATGCGAGTTTGCGAACATTCAGGGGGGGGGGGGGGGGCTTCACTTTTAAAAAGCTGCTTTTACCTAAATGTTTTATTTTCTTATTTTTAACTTTCATCTGTTTATGAATTTTTATCATTGAATGACTTTTTTTCTGATGTTAATCTATTTCTGTTTTGAGATCATTATGATTTTATGACTTTATATTTTATTTTGTCTTGATCTTTGTGAAGCACTTTGATTCTATGTCTTGGATAAGTGCTAATGTAAAGAAAATGTAGTTTCTTATTTAGACTCAGAAACCATTTTTTACTGGTTGTTTCTGATTATAATCAGTCACTTTGAGGTTTTCTTGCAGGTTCAACATGAAAATAGTCTCCCACACCTATCGCCTGCATTAAATTTGAAAATCCTGACAGTTCTACGTCACACTGTCACTTAACATTCAAGGACTCACCCATATGGGCTCGTAACGAGGAAGGTTGTTGTTGGTTTAGCATCCAGGAAAGAGCAGAGAACGTCTTGGTAAGTAGAAGCTAACTGTTAGCATTAGCAACTTCACCGCATAGCAGAACTCCTCCAGGCTTGTGTTGTTTGTAGAGATTAACATTAACATTGCAGAGAAAACAGAGTCAGTGGTACAGTTGCATTTCTGTTAGCCAGTCAGTGGCAAGATCTCTAAATATCAGGAAGTAAAAGTCCAAATCCCACCGCCTGAAGCTACTGTTGTCAAACAGGAGCATCTGAGCTTCATTTCCTCAGAGAACGACTTAGGCCTGCACCATACTTTCCATTTGCTGACGCGTGTTTAAAAAGGCTGCCTCATGTAAGTTGTGTTGATTTGAAGTGTTGTTCGTCCATGTCCTCTGAAATTAACGCAACACATTTGAATGCTGCAATATCCAAGTAATCAGTAGGTGGAGTTGACAAAGCAAGACTCCTTCTCTGGTTTAGAGGTCTTTCAGACCATCTACAGTATCGCTGCTCTCTTTTTTCTGCCATGACCTCAAAATTAACCAGTTACTGATGTCTTCTATCAATGCCATGTTTGTTTGGTTGTACCCTACAAACCCAGCTCTCTATCCACTCTTAGTGCTCTACTGTGCCCCCTAGTGAAACACTCCAGTATAACATGCCGTGCAGCAGCAAGTTTCGTGAACAAGGCCTGCTGCCTGCACCAACACGAGGTTAAAAAGCAAGTATATCCCAGGCCTTGCATTCAAACATAATAAAAACATCATCACAGTTGACATTTTAGAAAGACATTCTGCTTCAAGTGGCTGGACCAGAAGAAATGATTACAGGCCCATTGTTGTTTCTTCATTTCAGTTTTGTATCACTTCATACAAAATGTATGTTAAAATATTCATGTCACAAGTGCAGCAGCAACATCCATAATTTATTATTTTATCCAAGAGACAGATTTTTAATTTTTCACATGAAAAAGAAATGGACTTCTTCCACTCAGAAGTGAAATCAGCAAGCACTTTACTTCCCTGAACATGCAAAAATGTTCACAGCTCACTCCTTTTCTTCATCTGCTTCCTTTTGTGATGCACAGTAAAAAAACATTGAAGGGAGTCTTCTGCCTGTCCCAGATGGTTGAAATACACAGCACACTTCTCCCACTTCCAGCTCTCATTACGGCCACACACGGATCG